GCTCTTTCCCTTTGGAGGCATTTCAGAAGTTGTAGTAGTTGTATAGTTATTGCTCAAAGCTCAAAGCCTTGACAATATGAAAAGGACAGAAGTAAAAATATCGTAGAACAGACAGAGAAGCAATAGACACGTCTGCTCTCGCTCGCAACCCTGAAATTACATTATCTCACAATAGTGAAGAATCCTTTTAAAAAGATTCCTGGATCTGGAAAATGATCAGAATCTAATGGACTGTTCTGTGGGCCATCAAAATTCCTTCATTATGTTTTGAGTTATGCTGTGAAAGAACCAACAGACATTGGTGAAAACATAACCTCCTTGGCTGGACGTTAGAACAGAGCCAACGCGCTGATAGCTTTCTGATTTGGACAGATCTGGAATGAATCAGACTTGGCAGACGGAGCTCAGAGTTACTGAAATGATGCCAGATCCTTTCTAGGTATAGCAAAACAGAGCAAACTTGATGTTCAATGCAAAATGTGTGAGCAGGTTACTTGGCCCTGTGCAGCTGTACACTGAAATCCTGTGTGGGGGGCTGTGCATCACATTTTGTTTCATCAGCGTTGAAGAAACCACACAAGTTGTTACAAGTTGTTGTTGGACCTGGGTTGAAATTTATGTGGCCTACCTGAAAACTGGTTTTGCAAGATGTGGATCAACTCAGATGGTTTTAAAACAGTAGAGCACCAACATTCTGGAGTTGCAATGAATCGAATGGACTTGATTTTATCTTGCTAGACAAATTTTCAGACTGTTGTCACCAACAAAACAAAAGAAAACATTTGTCACTTGTTCAAATGCTGTTTTCATTTGCCTCAGAAATGACCTCACCAATATTTTATGTCTCGTCCGAGTATCCTGTTTGAGCAAGAAGCGCAAACATCAACAATCATGCTAGATGGTCGCTCACACAAACAAACCTTAGGTGTGTCACTGAGAAATACTGACAGAATAATTCTCAGTGGAAGTTGGGTGGAAGCTCAACAGCCAAAATAATACACCTACTTCTGTTTTAATTAAGTCCCCGTCACTTTGATTTAGTGGCTGTTAAGGTGTTTGGAAAGGTGCTGTGCTGAAGGCACCTTAACTATGACTGAAAAACTTCCAGTAGTTTCCACACTGAACTATGTGATAGAAAAAATACAAACAGGTGCCTACATGTGTTGAAATGCCCTGAATCAGATGGAACTCTGTGAGAAGCCTCGTAATGAAGAAAGACGATGCCAACTTGTCATTTCAGTGGGATTTTAAAGGATAATTTAATTTTATTAATAAAGCTCAATCTCTTATTTTCACAGTCGTGTTCATTTCTGTAAACATTTTCAGTACAGAACGCAAAACTGTCAGTAGTCACAAAGAAACAAGTAGTTCCTGAATAAATGTGAATCAGGGTCTAGATAACAGGAAAATAGCAGATAATGATGAGTTACTACTGAACAGACAGAAATTACTTCATATGTATCTGAGAACTGACATGGAATACTACTGATATTGTTTTCCCTCACGTTTTTGTGTCTATCTTTTATTTTGCTTTTGCATCTGCCTGTGCTTTTAGTTGTAAATAATGAAGCAGCACTTTTACAAACAGCAGAACACATTACGGTCCAGGCCCAAGACACAGAGAAGCTGATTAAGGAGCAGTTTAAGAAGCTTCACCAGTTTCTACAAAAGGAAGAGGAGGCCAGGATCAAAGCTCTGAGGGAGGAAGAGAAGCAGAAGAGTCAGATAATGAAGGAGAAGACTAAGGCTCTGAGCAGAGAGATAGCAGCTCTTTCAGACACAATCAGAGCCACAGAGGAGGAGCTGAGAGCTGAACATGTCTCATTCCTGCAGAACTACAAGGCTGCGGTCAAAAGAGTAAAGCAGCGCCCCCTGCTGGAGGATCCACAGCTGGTCTCAGGAGCTCTGATAGATGTGGCCAAACACCTGGGCAACCTGGCCTTCAACATCTGGAACAAGATGAAGAGTATGGTCACCTACACTCCTGTGATTCTGGATCCAAACACTGCCAACCCAGAGTTCATCCTGTCTGAAGATCTGACCAGCGTGATACATGGAGAGAGACAGAAGCTTCCTGGAAACCCAGAGAGGATCAACTATCACCGCTCTGTCCGAGGCTGGGAGGGCTTTAACTCAGGGACTCACAGCTGGGACGTTGAGGTTGGAGACAATGCAACCTGGTTTGTTGGTGTGGCAACAGAGTCCGTCCAGAAGAAGGGACGCTTAAAATCTGGGTTCTGGCAAATTGAGTTCTACAATGGAAAATACAGCGCACGCTTGTCAGGAGATCCTGCCATTATTGTTCGGGTGAAGAAGAAACTCCAGAGGATCCGAGTTCATCTGGACTGGAACAGAGGAAAACTGTCATTCTCTGATGTTGATACTAACACACACATACACACCTTCACACACACTTTCACCGACATGCTGTTTCCATGCACAGGCACTTTGAATGAACTCCCACTGAAGATATTACCAGGCAAAGTCTCTGTTACAAGAGAATAGCTCAGTCAGAGATGCCTATGAGGATAATATCCACAGGTGTCGCATATTAGAAACTGTGTGCTTTGTGTTGTGACACTGAGATGCAATAACATTTCATATAAACAACATTTTTATGAAAATAGAAAGCTGCGTTTTAACTTTGCTATGATTTACACCTGATGCTTACCTAAATTTCCCTCGGGATCAATAAAGCTGGCTATCTACCTATCCATCCCATACAACTAAAACCAAAGCAATAAGCTAAATCAGGGGTTTTCAACCAGTGGGTCGTGCCCCCCTGGTGGTACATAAAGGCATTGCAGCTGGCTCCTGCTGTAGCATTCAGTAATGTAGTTTCTTTTTTTCTTTTTTTTTATTGAAATAAACAGGACCAAACATGGGAGACAAGACAACAGATACAGGACATTAGAAAAAGATATAGAGTGTTTTACAAGACTGTAGTGTGTGAGGGTGTGAAGTGTGGGCATTTCCAACTTATGCAGTCCATGAAACGCAAGAAACAAAGGAGGAGAAATTTTATTTGTTTTTTTTATTTTTTTTACAATAATAAGAATACTACTAATAAAAGCAGCTTGTTTAGAGATTGGTGGGAATGTATGTGGCCTCAGCCCCAGGTGTTTGGTTCGAGTTGAAATGTATTAAAAATGGTTCCATGTGTCATAAAAAGCTGATAAGCTATTCTTGAGTGGATCCCATTTTCTCTAATGTGATGTATTCTATCAGAAAGTTGGTCCAGTGGTTTATGTGTAGTGATTTTTTTTTTTATTTCCAGTTTTGAAAGATTGTTTTCATGGCAATAGCTAGAGAAATGAGGAGTGGGTTTTTATATTAATGTAGTTTCACTGTAGGAAATGTTTAAACACATTTCTATGTATTACTTGACTGTTTGTGAATAATCAAATTCCTGCAAATATATAAAAAGTAGAAAAGCCAAGGTGACTCTCAGGATTATATCTTTTTGTTATTATAAAGACTCCAGTCTATACATTTGTTTGACTCTCTGTTTGCACATCATCTTTGTGTATTTCTTTTCTTTATATTGCTAATGAGTGGTACACTCTCTGGCCACTTTATTAGGCACACCTGTACAATTATATGCACCTCAGTGCCTTAACATCTGTGTTTGTGGAGCTCAAATTGTTTCAGTTTTAAGTGAAATTGTCATAAATATATAAATTAAATGTATAGTTAAAGGTGCTGTTGTACTGGACTACACTATATTTAGAGGTCTCTCGATATTTTTGTCCTCCCCTGCTCAGCGTCAGTGGCTCGATGTGCAGGGGCTGCAGCAGGAGACACCGCTGAGCGTTTCTTATTCTTGCCTCTCGCCATTTAAATCGTGTCTGTCTGCTGTCATTGCATTGTCATATGGTCACTGGACGGTGCCCCACTCACTCAGATCTGTTCAAACTGGCCTAAAAACCTTAGGTGTGATTTTGCAATGTGTTTAAATGGAGAATAGTTTTCTGTTTACACTCAGCCATTGTTGCTGTCACTTGTTAATTATTTAGTTTAATTGTGTTTATTTGTTTCTATCAATTGATGGTGTGTTTTGTTTCGTTTAGTCACGTGTTCTTCACTAATTTCATTCCCCTCTTTTTCTTTGTAATCCAATTTGAAAACATAAAAATATTAATAAAAATTTGAGATACGACAGAAAACTTAAACTCTTCCTCACTCTCAGTATTTTTTTATGCCTTTTACCTGTGCTTTAAAATTGTGAATGACCTTTTATTTTTAATGTATTTTGTATTGTTGTATTGCTTTTACTGAAGTAATTTAAATGCGCCACAGTCAGATGTCCCAGTATTCTGTGTCTGTGTTAACGACGTTCAGTCTAAAAACTGTCTCACTTGTGTTCAGCTCATCTAAGACCAATATTAGGACCGGCCGAACACCACAGCCTAAAACATCTTTGTTAATTGGAAAAATCACTGATTTAAATAGGATAAGCAAGTTGGCAAAATCCCAATCTGCTGACTAAGTTCCTCCTCACAGCATATAATAAAATATCTAGTCCAACACTGATGTGTAATTCTCAGTACCCGGACAGCAATGCTTCATCTGTTGACTGCGACCCAAGATCAACTGACAACAAGAGGTTTGCTGTGGCCCATCTCTGTCTGCTGTAGCTAGCTGACCAGGGAGCTGACGATGCTGATGCTGATGAAGATGATGGTGCTGTGAAAAGCCTTTAAATGAAGCACAAGAGAAACACCACAGTTCCACACCAGACCAAAAGAGGGGATGAGCAGAGCCAGGCAAAAACCACAGGTATGCAACTGAACCGGGCGGAGCCAGGTAAAAACCACAGGTATGTAACTGAGCCGGGCGAGTGAGTGTGTTTGGGGCTACAGTACATAGCTGAATATATTTCAGATGCCACTTTACAAAGATAACATCTGATGAACATGTTACTCAACAACCATTGGCCAAACAGCAATTAAGTCAAATATAAATATTTCTGGTAAACCATAAGATAAATCCTATTTTTTTGTCATCGCAACAGAAGTTAATGAAAATGTCTGAATTCCATTGGTAATTTTCAGACATATAAAGACATCCCTTTGAATAATTACAATGGGCTTCTTTTTTTTTTTTTTACAGTTTGACATTTTATATAATACACTGCATATCAAGTAATTGATATGTACAGCCGTAGTTCATTCCTAAGAATGTGATGGTGAAATTTGATGTCATTGCTATTGCCCAGAGGATGATTCATTTCCATTTTTCACCCATGTTTCCTTTAGCACCTGTCTCAGGTCAAAATGTGAACATCACACAGAAACTGGGGGTTTGCCTGGCTGTGGTCACATCCGGAGGCCTGTTGTATAAAGAAAGCTGAAATAGTTGAACCTGTTTGCAATGTGGGTTTGACTGATGGTAGGCTGCTTAAGGCTGGCGCCAAGCTCACTGTTCAGTATCTTTGTTTTCTGTTTTAAAGTGTTGAAAATATACAAACTATTTCTTCTTGTCAAAACATTTTTAGTTTACCATTAATCACAACTCAAAAATACACTTCCACCTGCTGGCAGATGTACTGAAACTTGGCTACGAACTGTGGTGAGCCATAAAACATTACAAATAGCAGTCAGGTCCTTAACCTGCATTTTAGTTTGTTGTTTTAATTAGCAGCAGAAACTTCAAACTTGCTGGTGCCACAATGATTACTCATCAGAAATTTGATCAGTTGAACCCTCACACCCACCTCATCGGCTCTGTATTAAGATAAAATCCCACCACATTTTTATGCAACTGTGCCTCAGAGCCCTTTAGCAAGGCAGATAATCAGAGGAGCCTTCAGATTAGCCAGGTAAGAAAGACTGCATCATCAGTATATACGGTAAACATAGGAATCTTGTTGGCGATGCCATAGCTCAGACCAGGACCGTAGGCTGTGACATTGGGGCTGCTGATGTGGTTCACATCAAACTGAAGGGGAAACTCTGCAACACACAAATGATGAACATTAGTACCACAAAAGACTAACACCTAAGGGACAGAATCAGGCCCCCATGCTGGAACTGTTTTAGAAGGCTTTAGTTCACATACTTAAGTGTGCCAAATATTAGTCAGTGTCCAGTTAGCACACTTTCCAGGAAATGAAGCCAAGTCAATACAAGTCCCCATGAGGAATGAAAACAAATGTGTGTTGTGCTGACCTGGGATATGTGTGCCATTGTATTTGATGTGCATCTCATGACAACATAACACTGATAAGTGCTATGCTGCTGCATAAGTATTTTACTTTTTTGTGGTGTAAGAGCACCTTGTTGAAAATACCTAGGCAGAATGTTTAATTTTAATGGGAGTATTATTAATACAGTATGTGATATTTTGTGGCAACTTCATTAAGGTGTTGCAAACATGCTTTGTCTCAGTGGGTGGTAGTACTTCATAGCTGTATAAAGAGGATTTCTTTTAAATGTTGTTCATGTTTTTATTTATTATCTATTATACTTTTAACAAGTCGTTTTTGATGAAGCAGAAAGGTTCCAGGTTCCAGCCCAAACGAATATTGGAAATGTAAGTGTTGTTCATTGCAGTCATACATGTTAACACACGTAATCACAGTCATAGTCTAGAATTAACAGTTGATTCATCAACATTACATAAACCTATTTTCCCAGTGGTCATAGGGCTATCGTTATGTTTCATTTACCTGTATATCTGTTTGGTTGGTTGGTTGTTATTCTGGCTACTCTTAAATGGTATTTATCAATCACATCCATCCATCCATCCAT